CAGAAACTTCAAACACCAAGTCTGAACATTAGGAGAGGTTATTTCATTTTGCCACCTTTCCAAGGTCAACACTTTGGTGATCAGATTTGTGAGAGGTGGCACCTCTGACAGTCAAGAGACTTCCCAGGCAGCACACAGAACAGTCCAATAGCAACATGCTGTGAACCAGATGCCAAACAACATTCTTTGTGCGTGGTCATTTCCTAGCAGGTGGGTCTAAATCCTCTAAGTCAACATCCAGCCATCACTGCACCAAAAGAAAACAACACTTTCTAGAAAACCGAAAAACTCATCTACAGCCAACTGAACAACTTGGTTCCAGAGTGATGGGCAGCACAGCCCAACCAGGCACCCTGCTGTGTGCAGCCACAGTCACACCTCACCACATCACTCCCCTGTCAGTGTGATCTGAACCTCCTTTCAGCAAAGGCCATCAGCTGTAAGCAGCTCTGTAAAGCTTCCACAGAGATAACAGAGTAATCTAATTTTGTTTGTGACCTAAATCCTACTTGGACACAGCACAGATGAGATAAAAGGTGGGATACTTTCCAGTCAGTATAATGGATTTGAATTCGAAGAGCTCACCCTAACCATGGCTTGTGTCCTCCAGCCTCTGCAACTTCTGCTGCAGGGAAAACAAAGTTAGCAATTGTTAATCTGGTCTAAGTCAGAAATTCAGTCTGAACTTACGAGAGCCATGGGCTCACCTGGCAGGTCTCCACAGCCTCGACTGCTCCTCAGCCTGCACAGCATGGCAATCACTCGCCGACTCTGACCAGGCACTGGGACATCAGCCATCAGTAGAACACTTACATCTTCTCTAGACTGTATACTTTCAAGTAGGAATTATATTCCTCAACTACTCTCTGTAATTCAGGTTCTACTCTGCCTTACTCTGTACGTGTAAAATTCTGTTTAAAACTGTACCAGACACTCTATGCACTGGCAGGGTCCATGTCATACCTAGACAAAACCTCTTTGCACTTCTAGGGAGGAGTTGGTGGCAGCAGTCCCAGCTGAATCAAATGAGATATAATCTCCATCACATGCAGTCACAGAACCAGAATGGACCTCCCTTCCAAAACCCTTCCTCGATTCCTGCTGCTCCCCACATCCTCCTGGGGCTTTGCCCACCTACCCCATAGGATCTGCACAGGAAAGCAACTCACAGCATCTTTTAGCTGGAATAAGGGATGTCTCAGCCCTCAACATCACCAGGAAGGGAGATTTCAGCGAGCTACAGCCCAAATTCTAGAACTAGAAAGGTACTTCCAGTTTCTAATCTCATTCAAAGTCACGCAGAGTCAGCCTCATATTTAAAGGTCACTTCGAAAAGCCCTGATTATAACACATTCTAATTCAGAAAGTACTCAGGGCAAACCCCTTGCAGCACTGGATATGTGAGGGCTCCTGTCCCTGGCTCCAGGCTGAGCAGCTGCAGCCTTGCTCATCTCCTCCTTCCTTGATTTCCTGGTCATCTGTGACAAAGGTGACCTCCTTCAAGACATCCTGACACAGCTGGTGGTGGATGTCCTGGGAACAATGAAGAAGAAAGGTGTCCTGGGCAGAGGCTCAGGGTGACATGGGCTGGATGGGGATGGGACAGGAGCAGTGAGGCCAAGCCACCCACTGCAGCCCTCACCAGCTCTCAGCTCCAAAGCCCCCATGGAGATGGTCCAGCAAAGCTCAGAGGTCCTGACCGCGCCCCAGCTCCTCCTGTTCCTGCACATGGTCTCACATTTTTCCATGTTGCTCTGAATCCTGCTCTGGCTCCCACCTCCTGTTCTCCCACAGCTGCACACTCATACAGCCTGGAGGGATAAAGCCCCAACCTGGACCCAAACCATAACACCTGGCTCAAAACCTCCACAGGTGGGAAAGAAAAGACAACGAGGGGCAGGCAAAAGATCTGGGAACCCATGTCTCAACCTTCTACATCAGTTGTGTAATCTGTACTGTCTCCTCCTGGACATAGTATTCCAGGGCACAGCCTATGTATCAGCTGAAAGCCTCTACCCATGACAGCAATGAAGCTCTGGGAACAGTCTCCAGGCAGAAGCACAGTGGGAGTAGAGGGTCTCTGTGCCATGGGAGACAAGGCATTTGGGAAGCACTGAGCAGAGTGCTAATAATGCCATGTTTTGCAATTGAGATTCCATGGCCTTGAAATCATTCCTCCAGGTAACATGTCATGAAAACCAAGGAACTAGTATGAATGAATGGAGTCAGAAATCCCACACAAATCACCTGGGAAGCCTCCCTGTGGAAACCCCATCGAGTCCCCTCCAGCCTGTGTGTGCCTCCCCCCTGTTCACTGGAGCTAAACTCCACCCCTGGCTTACAGCAATTCCCAAAATTTTTTCCATCACACTTCCAAACTGTTTTTCCAAAACCCCTGAATATCTCCCAGATCAACAAACAAACCATCAAAAGAAAGCTGAACTCACACCTTGGGAGGGTATGTGGGGTCCATACCCATTTTACCCAGGTATGGAGCCTTGGCATTGAGAAAGAGAACAGCTACACCCTATAGCCTGAAATTTGGAAGGCCACCTGTGGCATGATGTGCCTCCCCTCCTTGACAGCCATGTCTCTGCTCCAGTTTCCACAGAGCTTTCCTCCCTCCTGATCTACACAATGGCAGGAGGAGCCCCATTTGCCCCTTTACTGTCTGTGTAGTAAGAAACCACACTCTCACCTGAACATCCACCAATCCAGCCTGAGCAGTTTCCCAACCAAAACCTGCTAATCAAATGAAATACAGCTAATAGACGATTCCCATCTCCTGGCAGCTGCAGGTCACCTCTGGCTGCCTCCTCTCATGCCCCAGCCAGAGCTCAGCATAGGCAACAGGACTCTCTGCCCTCCTGGAGGCAGGAGCAACAGGACACCTCCGGATCGGTGGATCCAAGTCACAGAACCACAGAACCCCAAACTTCATGAGAGAAATTGACCTCTCCGTATCTTCAGACCCACCCATCTGGATGGAGAGGGACTGCCCAGGGCAAACCCCAGCAGTGTGGAGCCAGTGCTCATTTTGGGAGGGTGCCCAGGCCACCCCACTCCACCAGGCTGAGGAGAAGTGACTTCGCAAACAGAAACACACTTTGCACTGGGAACACATCTGGGCAAGGAGGTCTGGAATACCCAGTTCAAATCCAAAGTCTAGAAAAGGTTTCTAGCCAATTGAGGAAAAAAACATTCCAGCATCTCTGAGAAGAAGGGAGGAGATGGAGATGCATCAGCTGCGAGACAAACACTTGACAGAAGAGTGCAACCAGAAGATGTCAACACTGCTTTTGAGGAACAGCATCCGCTACAGACACACAAACGACATGAGGACAATTAGCTGTATCCAACCTCACCGAGAAAGCGATCCAACAAACAGCATCCAGCTCTTTCAAACAGAAATGGCCACTACAGCTCAGAACCTCCCAAGAAAGCTTTGGCACAGGACACATCACCATCAATTTTGGCACTCGAACAACTATCATATCCAACCCAAAACACTTCCAAGCCCTCAGAACCAATAGCACCATTAACCAGCCCAGAATCCAACCCCTGCCAACAACTGCATCTCCCACAGAGATAAAGCACCACCTTCTTCCTGGACAGTGTTGACAGTCACTTTGCACAAACATGAAACTTAACATGTCGTGGACTAACACTGAAAGCTCTTCTGTGCTAGACAGGAGCCACTGTGACTTCCAGTGAATCCAAGACAGAAATCCACACAGATAAACACAGAAAAGTCAAATCCCTATAGATGGCTGATGGTGGGAACTCACTAGCTGAGACTAAGTCCTTTATTTAATGGACTAGGGATGTCAGAGAGAGGAAAGAGCCCCAGATGTGGTTTTGCAGAAAATCCTTACGAGGGTTTGATGATGTGATGAGACCCAAAAAGTAAATATCTAAATGTGAACTCTACAACCAGCAAAAATACCCTAGTTCAGAGAGGAAAAGAGAAGGAAAGAGGAGGACTTGCTGGAAAGGTCACTCAGGGTTTTAAAAAGAATCATCTAAAGTACTCTATAAAATTTCTTGATGTTGTAATTACCATCAATAACTCATGAGAAACATACTTTTAACTCAATAATGGCTTGCTTGAAAATCCCCAGCACGAAGAAGCTCCCAGGAACAGAGCCCAGTGGGTAAGTCCTGGGGAAGCAGAAGGCACTGAGCTCCAGAAGAGAGACAGCAACATGCAGAGCCAAGCAGGAGCAGCCTGTGACAGGGACACCTTGGAGAGCCCAGGCAGCAGAGAGGCTGCAGGTGCAGTTTCTGAGCCTTGACACTGACAAAACTCCTGAGACCTTAGAGAAGAAAAATGTGGGGCATCTTTCTGTGCCTGCTGCATCTGCCCCACGGAGCGGTTGCGGTGAGGCATCATCCAGCTGGGTTGGTGGATCTGAGGATACAAAGCTGATCTTTTCCACGCTGGTGTACACTGGTATGTACTGTGCCAGGAACAGCTCTGTGCCACTCTTGCACTCTGACTTTGGATAGGGATATCCTGGAGCTAAGCTGGCTAGAAAAGTCCCCAAGACCTGATCTCTGCATACCTCCCAAACATATCCCTGTTGGTAAAATGATAATCCTCAACTTTTGTCTATTTTAGTGCTGCAAACAATTCTATCACAGTTATGGCTTTCACAAGTAACATAGAAACAAGAACTTCTAACAAAAAATAATAAGCTGAATAAAGAGATAGGAAAACGACAGTGAATCAGTCTGGAAATTAATTACAGGCATATCTAGCATTATCAGCTACAATATCTCAATTCTGGAAGGCATTAGCTCCAGTGTAAAACAGGACAACCCCAATTTAATTTCTTTTTTTAATTCCGGAAAGAAAAATCTTCTACAGTGACTCAAACTGAGAGATTCAAACAACCTACAAATAACTGGAGTAATCAAACTGCATTTAACTAACACTGGGTGTTGGCTAAATAATTTCAAAGTTGTTCCACTAGTTGTGCCGTTGGCTTTATACTCACATGTGTGGATTTTGGAAAGGAACTCCAGAAGTATTTAGAGTAAATCTTGCTGTGGACTTGAAAGGTGGATTTGCAAAATTTAACTTCAGCGCTTTGCGTTTACCTGGGAGACAACGAACATAAAGTGAACTTTTTGTCAGCAACAAAATATTGAGAGCATCTGGAAATAAACAGGAAAAAATGACATATTGTAAGAAAAGGAAAATGCATTTCAGAACAACATTAGCAAATCACAGCTCATGTCAGGGACATGTGGATGGAGACACAGAGTCGGCTCACACCCCAAGGTCTTCCCTGGCTCATTCCAAGGCAGTCACCAAAGAGAGGTGTCCAGAGCACCTCCTGGGACAGGTGGAGCACCTGCATCACCTTCCAGGGTTCCAGCAGCCACAGGGCACCTCCTCACCATGGCCCTGACCATCCTCGATGCACACCCAAGGGGGTAAAGGGGCCTGACCTGCCCGGCACGGCCTGGGCACACCACCAGACCCAGGGGATGGCACTGCAGAGGGAAAGGACACCTTCTATGTAACACCCCAACCAAGGATGGCTGATGGGCGTCCTGACCTGGAGATGGCCAGGCTTGAGGGAGGCCTGTGAGCTCCTTCTGCAAAGTGGGCTGCCAAGCAGAGAGAAAAATTCAGCCCATCCGAAGGGTAACCAGGTGAGTGAAAGCTTTGCTCTGCAGCCAACTGACGAAGTGTGGGGAAATAAAATAAACAAACAGGACTGTGGGAGGGGTCCTGGTCACTGCACCAGCCACTGGTTCTGTACTTGCCATTGAAGTTGAGATGACCTGCTCAAGCAATAGCAGGATCAGGGTCTACAAAGGCAGCTGTCCCTTCCCAGCACTCCCACTGGGGAGCAGAAGACCCCGTGTTGTCCCCGTTTGCCCACAGGAAACCTGCATTCCTTCCCACCAAAACACCTAAGATGGGGCCTCCTCCAGCCCACCTTCCCGGGAGCCTGGAACTGAACCCCCCTGGCTTCCCACTGCCTGGGTGATGCCTTAACCAGTCACTGCTGCTCATCCCAGGAGGCACTGGCCACCCTAAGCTGGCACAACACCTGGACTCCTCCAACAATTTCTTTCACCTGTACCCTAGAGCAGGTGTCATATTCTTCACCATCCCACAACCCTCCTGGGAAAAACCAAAAGGCACCATTCTGCTCTCCAGCATTCCTGTACCTTGCACAAAGAGGTGTTTTGGGTAACTCCAAGACCATAAAAAAAAGAAGAAAAAAATAAGTCAAAGCACTTAGAGCAATTTCAGGGCACGAGATTACAAGGATCAGAGAACCACAGAATCACTGAGGTTGAAAAGGACCAATCATTCCCCCAAACCTACCATTAAGCTGTGTCCCCAAGTGCCACATCCACATATCTTTTAAATCACTCCAGGGATGGTGACTCCACTGCCCTGGGCAGCCTGTGCCAGGACCCAACAACCCTTTGGGTGAAGGAATCTTTCCTAATATTTAATCTACACCTCCCCTGGCACAACTTGAGGATGTTTCCTCTTGTCCTATTGCTTGTTACAAAATAAACAAACAAGACCCACCTTGCTAATAGAATCACAGAACCTTTGAGGATGGAAAGGACCTTAAAGATCACCATGGTAATATACATCTAAAACCAGCCTAATAAACCCAACACACCTCAGAATTAAGCACTCCCTCAAAAGAAATACACCCACCCTGTAGCCTGGCAGGCCAGGAAAGCTTGTGGCCAGCGCCCACCCACACCCAGTCAAGGCTTCTTAACACTTGCCACCCCACACCAGCTCAGCTGGGACCGAGTGACAGCTCAGCTTATTGGGGTGAAGTTCTGCCCTGAGGTGTCACTGCAGGAGCCAGGTGCTGCTGGCACTACCCGAGCTCAGCACATGAAGCCCATGGCACAGCTCCAGTCACTCCTCCTTTGATTTCCACAGAGAGATGACCCCTGTTTCCTCTATCAACCTTTTAAATCACTGGTAGATAACTTCAGTTTTAATCCTGCTGCAATACAATAATCCAGAAATACCTGCACACATGTTGCATTTGCTAAAAATCACCAAATTTGCTAGACATAAACGTCACACAAGGAACTTGCAAAAAATCCAACAGCGGGAAATGAATTATCCAATGCTTTGCATGAATCACTTAAAAAACACATCCTCATTTTCTGGTGATGATTCAACAGCAGATTTCCATAAGGTTTCAACAGTGATTCTGGGCCTCTCATCACTAAGGATGGTGGGGAAGAGCAAAGGCAAGGATGCCTGGCCCGGGTGAGGGGGGCTCAGCACAGAGCTCAACACTGCGATGGGCCCTTCCTGAGCGTGGCCCAAAAAGAAATGGCACAGCATGGACTAGGCTGCAGCACTACAAGGAGAGGATAAAATACTAGTTGTTAAAAATCCTGAGCACACTGCAACAAGGTAACCATGATTGGCTTGCTCCTGTTAAAAGTACTGATCTCTGATTTGACACAGTTTCAGAATCACAGAATATTCTGAGTTGGAAGGGAGCCACAAGGATCATCAAGTCCAACTCTTAAGTGAACGGCCAGAATAAGGAAAAAGGCCCCTGCTGGTGCTGCAAGCTGGTCTACTTTGGGGTACTTCCCCTCCGGTAGCACCCTCGTATTTTGCTTTGTTGTGTGCAAAAAAAAATAATGAAATAATGTAGTTTAGCAAATGCAATAATGCCCAAAATACCCATTAACCATCTTGCTTGCCAAACTGACTTCCCAGCATGAGGTTCCACCTTTCAACAATGCATTTTCAAAGCTTTCTTTAATCTTTTCCAAATAAAGATGATTCTTTCCACATGTTTATTACGCATAACTTGTTCTTCTGAAAAACACTTAGTTGGGGCCGCAGGGTCCCTCTCCCCAGCTCAGAGAAAAGGCCTGGTATCGCTAAGTTCTGCCTGACCTCCATCCCTGCCTCCACTGAGCCATGTAGCATGAGGAATATCTTATTTATGTTACTTACATGCACACAAAGCAAGTCCTCATTTTGTACCAGATGACTGCATCTATACACACAGCACTGTCAGGAGGATAAGCAAGTCTTCTCTCCTGCTTGGACTTGGCCACTCCAAAATCTCCTGGAGTAGGCAGTGCAATGTGGAAGCCAAGGACAGCGAGAGGCAGGCACTGATGGAGCAACAACATGCTGGTTCCAAGAGTGCCAGGTGACAGTAACACTTCACTCTCACTTCAAAGAATCACAGAATCATGGAGTGGTTTGGGTTGAAAAGGACCTTAAAGATCAACTCATTCCAACTTCTGCCATGGGCAGGGACACCTTCCATTTCAGGTTGATCAAAGCCCTGTCCAAGCTAACTCTGAATGACAGGGCATCCACACCTTCCCTGGGCAATCTGTGCCAATGTCTCACCACTGTCATTGTAAGGATCCCTTCCCAGCTGACACTCAGTCCGTTGTCAGCCAGCAGCGCACTCTGTGCCTCATGGCTGTCCCCTGAGCCAAACGCACAGCTGAGGGAAGGCCTGCAGCACTGAGGAACCAGAGGGTTCCTGGCTGGACCATCTGAGAGTGCAAGACCTGTCACAACACCCCACCATCGCCTGACCGACCTCCCACACCTCTTCTGACTACTTCCCTGAGGGCACCTCCCTTCCCACACACAGCAAAACCAGATGGAGTTCAGAGTGCCAAGGCTCTGGAGGATGCTGACGCTTATCCCTGCACCCTCCCCCTGCGCCCCCGTCTGCGCAGGCACAGGGGTGGTGCTGGGCAGGGACCTGCAGGGAAGGGCCACACAGCCCCTCGCTCACTGCTCCTGTTATGGCACCACAAACCTGCTCTCAGACTAGGTCCAGGGATTTCTTGCATCATTCTTTCAGTATGTTTCATTCACCCACCCAAACCCCAGGCCTCTGTCAAGGGCAACAATGTCATGTCATAAGATTTTCCCTTTCTTACACCAACGCTTATACAGCTCAGGAGAACGCTAGACTTCTAGCTAGCTAGAAGTGGCCCAACATCAAAATTGGCACAATTAACTACAAACTCTGATCAGAAAAATCTCTTCTCACAGCCTGTTCCTATTCTTGCTACTTGCAAACTTTATACACCAAGTTTCCTCCTGTTTTCACATTGGGACAGAATGTTTTTTATCACAGTTAAGCACTGGTCTATTGATTTCTATCTTAGTAGGTTTCTAAGGATAGTTTCAGTTATGTCAATCCACCATCTGGAGTTGGATTTTCTACAAATCCAAAGAATACAGAAGCACAAGCTGCCCCTGGGAAGCAAACAGGATGATTTGCTTTTGCTCAGCTGATGAACATGGAACTTGACCAGGGAGAAATGAACATCCTGAGAAATGCCAGGAATTTCCATCTAGCACAGATCACATGGAAACACTTACTGGAAGTGAAACAACACACTCAAATGGACCAGAAGTCTGAGGAGAGCCAAAGCAAGCTGTGTTCCCCAGCAGCCTTCCAAAACCTGAGTGCTTCAGCTATGGACTCAAGAGTCTCGAGTTTCACACTAAAAACATGTGTTTGACAACTCCATGTCCTTATTCCTTGCAGACACTCATTCTAACTGGAGGCAAAAGAGCCTCTTTAGATGCAAGATTTTGTGATTTTGCTATGCGCAGATTCAATACAGTCCCACCCTGTCCAACTACAACAAAGAGGCCTGGGGCTAATGGTGCTCCTGGAATTCACTAATGCCCGTCATCACCAAGGCTGTGCTACCAAAACTGTCTGAAAATGTGCAGCAGAAATATTCACCTTACATAGATTAAATGTCTTTTAAAGGTTCTGCTAACTTTATACATAATTCTAACCATCAACCACTATGACACCTACTTCTCTGAGAACTTTTACTGTAAAGATTATGTGAGAAGCAATGATTTGAAAGAAACCAAAAATAACTTTAGAATAGATCACTTTTTCATAAATGAGGTTAATCCTCAACACCAGACGTGAAACCATGAAATTCCTTGACTTATGGTCTTCCCAGTTGTGACTCGTGGGTTTGGTCAGCTGCGTGTTAACAGTTATACCAAGTCCAGACATGAAAGCACGATGGTCTGGGCTTTGGCTGAGCTGAAGTGGCAAGGGAAGCACTGACTT